TATTTACGAGATATTGGCAGGGTGTAATGATCACGTGAACTAACTAATGGAAGGACAAGCATGTTTATAAAAGGATTATTATGATGAAATCAGAGCTGGATATTAGTAATGGTCAGTTAGCCAGTGGTCAAGAGGACTGGTATTTTATCCTAGGGACTGGGTCACTTCAAGGATTTCTTTTATTCTATTAATCTATTTCCATTTTTTCCTATTACATTGACGAATTATAAATTTATATTTCAGTAATGGTTCAGACATTTTTTTTTTCAGAAATCTCCTTGAGTGGTAGTAGATTTTTTCCCCCTTCAATCTGATATCAATATATCGATATACCCAATATATTAGCAGAGGTCAGCAATCAATTATTTCTACTTAAATGACTTCGGTCAACCACTATAAACAAAATCATTGATTCAGTTTTCTCCTTCCATTATTATTTCTCTTATCACAATTACATAATTCTCTGCAGAATATATATATATATATATATATATATATATATATATATGTATGTGTGTGTGTGTGTGTGTGTGTGCATGTAAGTGTGTGTGTGCATGTGTGTGTGTAAAAATAGGAAAGAACACGTTAGGTAAATAATGAACATGCTTATAAAGAGGCATAAATTTCAAGATTGGTTATTCCTAAATTTTCACCTGAGGATGAAACAGGGTTTGATACTTTAACTCAATTTAATTTTAATAATTATATTGAGGTTTTTGGCTCTTGTTTTTTGAAACATGAGAACTCTTATGTAGCTTAAGGAATCATATTTTTTAAAAATAATTATAATATATATATATATATATATATATATATATATATATATATATATATATGAAGAAATATAGTCTTAAGAGGTGCTATATTTATGGGATAAAGTGTTCAATATCAGAGATAGAGCGTGTGTAAATATAAAAGTGAACATAGAAGTCAACACTTAGTTTCATGCTAGATGCAATCGTCAAGCCACCTATATATATATATATATTAGTGCATAAATTTATTGTATCAAAATTTTTTTTACAATGATGTTCTCCTTGTACTAGACCAGGAGTCACTCAAGGTAGAGGATTACAAAGTAAGAGGCACAGTTTATGGGGATATGTGGGGGAGATAATGGTTTACCCTAGGCTTGAACAACTTTAAGATTGTAGTGTGAGGAAGCATCCACTTGGGAGTTGGTTCCACAAAGCAGCAGTTCATGGGAAGAAGCTGTTCAAGTGGAATGTACATCTCACTAATGGAATATAAAGGGAATGAGGGTGGTTTGCTACAATGGGCGTGGCATGGCAGGCCTTAATCGTGAAGGTGAGAACTGATGGAACTAAGGAATGTATTTTGTGTGAACACTTTCCACTGAAATAGCAAGAGGCTTGTGACATTTCGGCTGTGACATTTCGGCTGTGAGAAAGGGGTTGTAGGGAGGAAAATAATTTGCCACCGACGAGAATGCAGAGACACTTTCGGACTCTATCGAGACTGGAAAGTGATGACTGGGCAGCTCCTGCCCATGTATGGCAGCAGTAATCCATTTTCAGCCTGATCTGGCTCTTGTAACGGTATAGCAGGAGGAGCCAGGTACTTAGTTACAATGTTTGTTTTTGCAATAAACCTAAGGAAAAGAAAATAAATAAATCTTATACTTATTTCAATTAAGTAAGCTAAATTTATTCCAAATATAAAGGCAGAAATGTTTCTAAATTTCTCAAGCTGACTACAGCATCAATCTGCCATAAACCCAAATTGATACTAAAATATGTTACTCCCAGTAGAACAAGGAGCTTTTGAAATAGGCCTCCCATTCTGGCCCTTAGCTTTTTTAATCATTTCACCCCAATCAAGGCAATAAAGCCACTAAAACACAAGGAGTTATTGAGTGTTAGAGAATATGAGAAAGAAACTCTATTAAAGAGATAGAACAATAAAATAAAAAGAATTAAGAAAAGAGAAGATAGAAATTGACATTGCATCTAAATTTTTGAAGATCAATGTTAACTTTGAAGCAAGAAGCTGGAAGAGAGCTCCACAAGTGAGAAGAGAAGTAGAAGAAACTGTTAGCATAGAACTTATGGTTGCATCTAGCCATTTCAACTGTAAAATGATGAGACCTAACTGCCAATCTAGTACTGTGCTTAAATTCATAAAGTCTAGGTACCATAGAGGAAAGTTTATCAAACAATTACTATGAAAATATTTATAGAAAAGGTACAGGGAAGCTACATTACAGCAGTGGGAAAAGTGACTGAAGCCAAGATGCCAGATCAAGACCAATAACATTGCAGATTCTTCTTTAGATTTTTATCAAGAATCTCTAAATATATAGCAGGAGCACCATACCAGATGTGGCAGCAATATTTGAAGAATGGATGAATGGTAGACTTATAAATATGTAAGATAGATTCCAGGAGTGCACCATGAGTAGGCTTATAGTATGCATGCTTCATGATTTATAGGCAGATTCCTTATCAGGAATAGTGATCAACATCTTCATACTGCGATTTTGGTTTAATCAGCACTTTTGGTTGTCAAAATTCTTTATTGATTAATAAGCATTTTATTACATTGGAAACCCTTTTATCAGATGCCTAAAGTTCAGCAATCAGGTCTTGTTATTGCATGAGTGACCCTTTGAGATATAACAGTTTCCAAAGGCTCTGGTATAGGCAGTAGGTGGCTTAGAGATATTGCTAATTAGTATCTGTCTATATTTCTGAGATGAGGTATTATGTACATTATTCGGATTATTGTCCTCATCTCTGTTGCCATATTTATTACAACGTTTCGGCCGTTGTATGCTCCAGCCTTCTTCAGATGGTTGGAATGTCAAACTTAACCCTTTATTTTGCTCACTGGGGTAGACTGTTCTAGTTCCCACATGCCATGTTTAATGGATGTCAGTTATCAATTATCTCCTGTTAATTTCCCTCTGAAAGTTCTCCACTGCCTTAACCAGATATTGAACTCTTTGGGTCCTGTTACTGGATCTAACCAACACCTTTATCTACTGTGCCATGAGTCCTTAAGGAATTTATAGTGGAGACATTAGGTTTATAATGTTAAGGCAGCAATAATAGTGTTAAAATTATGAGGATAATATTTACTGTACCATAAAATATAAAACTAGGCACTTAGTACAAATATACATACATGTGTTTAGCTGTAATTTTCTGTAAACTTTCTACTGTGTAACCATTAGGGTAAGTAAACTACCATAGGTTCTGTGTCCTGGGTATGATGATAAACTATATTTGGCAGCAAGGCTTCTGATCAGACAGTTTTGAGGAGTCTGGAACCACCTCTTAATTGCTGTTGTTTCTGTGTCCACCCTGACCCTAGGTGGTAGCACTTGTTAGGGTCCCATCTATGGGAAACTAGTTAATCCTCAAAATGTGGTCAAAACACTGAAAGTATAAAATATTTTATAGTAAAAATACCAGCAACACATTTTTGGAAAAAAAAAATAAATGAATAAATAAAACCAGCAATTCATTTAAAAAAAAAATGAAGAAATTACTAATGCACCCCACCCTGTCGGCTGGGGCTTCAGAATATGCTGACTGCACCTCTGCAGAGGGGTAAGACCCCCACCCCACCACCACCACCAAATGAGGCATCCTGGATAAGATGATAAACTACATCCAACAGTAAGGCCTCTGATCAGAAGGTTTTGAGGAGTGTGGAACCACTTCTTAATTTCTGGTGTTCCCATGTCCACCTGGACCTGGGGTGGTAGCACCTGTTAGGATCCCAGCTATGGGCAAATAGTTAACCCCCAAACTGAGGTCAAAATATTATGAAAGTGTAAAAATAGCTTTTTATACCAGCAATACATTTTTTGAAGAAGAATATAACCAGCAATAAAAATCTTGTTGGCATTAAATAACCCATTGAGGTGTTGATATACCATAAAACAAAACAAACCAAACCAAATTAATGCACCCAAGAAAATTAAATTTCAGCATTAAATAACCCATAAGGAGTTGATATGCCATTAAACAAACAAACAAACAAACCATGGGTTATTTTATTAACTTCTGCTGGTCTACGAGGCAACACAGTAAATTTATTATTTCCTTGAGTTTGTTCCAAATTGTTGTTGTTTCTGTTTGAAAAGTGCTTTCCTTGTTTGTGTATTTCTTTGAAATTTATTTTGTCTGTCCATTTTCCTCTTTGAGAAATATATTTGCTATCTGTTTCTAGTTTTTAAGGTATATCGCCAAAATAAAAGGATAACATTATAATTGGAGTGAGCTATAGAAGAAAGATTTTATTCTCCCATTTGTATTTCACCCATTATGAGTATTATTATATCTGTGATATAATAACACCGTAATTCACAGAAGGAACAGAATGGCTGAAAAGAAAACAGAAGGACAAACATGCTTTGTTCGCAAGGAGACTTTTATACTACTAAAAACTATATATATATACATATATACACATGCAAAGAACTATATATATCTACACAGAAAGCAGAGTGTAAGTAGAAACAAAAAGGAAAGATCTTATATATAATATGGAAATTCTTCTGTGCTTCTGGAGAAGCCATGTTTAGGCCTCCAGATTCAAATGGGCCAGATTCATCTACTATGTCCCAGGCGATAACATATTTCTAAAAGAGGAAACAGCAAGTCTTGGGTTTTCCCAAATTGAGAACTGCTAGCCAAGATATATACCCAAAGGGAAACGGCACCATGGATTTGTAAGCCACTAGGGAAGGCAGATTTAGCTTCAACCTGGGCACCTTGGCCCAGGCCAAAAAATCAACTGCTCAGTTTGGCTGCTGTAAACAAATTGAATGACTGACTACTTTTGTCACTGACGTCACTAAGCAGCCAAGAAGGGGTTAATATAAATGAAGTATATTTCAGTTAATTAGGTCATTGGCTATTCAGAGTAGCCAAAACTTCATTTACTTGGGTCACTCACCACTTAGCCTTTTAGAGTAGCTGTACAATTACATGTCTGCCTTTTAGAATATAGGTACAATTGCATGTGGCTTATGGCCATATCACATTGAAATACTGGTTTCTGTATGATCACCGAAGTTAAGCAACATCAAGCCTGATCAGTACCTAGATGGGTAGCCACTTGGGAATACAAGATGTTGTAAGTTTAGATATACAGGTGGTGTAATGAATTACAGCTCCGAATTGGAAAATGAAGTGCCAGGTTTCAATTCCATCTGTGTTCATTATATTGACTTACATGCAAATAAAATACCTTTGGGGAAAGGTATAAACCCACATTTTCTCCCTCACCCAGCTTTGGGTTAATTAGTAAAACTTGAATCACTAAACCATTATTATCTAAAAAAAAAATCTTTAAAATCTAAAAATATTTTCTGGCTTTAAATAACCAGCAAAGGATTCATAAGCCATGGAAAACAAATCAATCAATAAAATTACAATTACGTGTCTGACTTTTAGAGCAGAGGTACAATTATATGTTTTCACCTTTTAGAGCAGAGGTACAATTATGTTTTCACCTTTTAGAGCAGAGGTACAATTACATGTGTTCACCTTTTAGAGCAAAGGCATGATTACATGTGTCCATCTTTTAGAGCAGAGGTATAATTATGTTTTCACCTTTTAGAGCTGAGGTACAATTACATGTGCCCATCTTTTAGAGCAGAGGTATAATTATATGTTTCCACCTTTTAGAGCTGAGATACAATTACATGTGTCTCCCTTTTAGAGTTGAGGTATATTTATATGCCACTTATTGGAGGTAAAATTCCAGATCCACATAAATGTCATTGGATTAACCAGAAAACAATGACACATATAGCACATAGTTGGATTGACATTATTTTTCGCAAGAAGGTAATGTAGGTAATGCATTATCTTAATCTCCACCAATTTGTTTCCATGTAGTTAATGCTAAATCTGCCAAGCATTAAAATTTACATATTAAATGTATAATAAAAAGAAAGAAAAATTATATGTAGACAGCGATATGATTGGGCCAAATTCTTTCATTCAGGACATGCATATTTCCTTAAAGATATAAAGAATATTTTCTTAAAGATATAAAGAATATTTTCCATTTGTAATGACTGAGAAATAGGACACATTTGAAATGCATTTTATAGAATTTTTTTAATTGCCATGGTTCTTGGTTGTTTTAGTTCAGCAGCATATCAACTTCTATAAGTTATTTAATGCCGAAATCTAAATATTTTGATTGGTTTGGTTTGGTTTGGTTTGGTTGATTTTGTTTAGTGGCATATCAACCTCTATGGGTTATTTAATGCCGAAATCTAAATATTTTGATTGGTTTGGTTTGGTTGATTTTGTTTAGCGGCATATCAACCTCTATGGGTTATTTAATGCCGAAATCTATTTTGATTGGTTTGGTTAGGTTGATTTTGTTTAGCAGCATATCAACCTTTATAGGTTATTTAATGCCAAAATCTAAATATTTTGATTGGTTTGGTTTGGTTGATTTTACTTAATGCCATATCAACCTTTATGGGTTATTTACTGCTGAAATCTAAATATTTTGATTGGTTTGGTTTGGTTCGGTTGATTTTGTTTAGTGGCATATCAATCATTATAGGTTATTTAATGCTGAAATCTAAATATTTTGTATTCAATTTTATTTTATTTTTGGAGATAATAATGGTTTAGTGATACAAGTCTTACTAATCAACTCATAGCTGGGAAGAGATGACATGGATTATTCAAGTTTACAGCATCTGGTATTCTCAAGCAGTCACCCATCATTTTATACTGACCAGGCTTGACATTGCTTAACTTTGGCGATTGTATGGGAACTGGTGTTTCAACGTTATGTGGCCATAAGCCTCAGCCAATTCAATAAAAAGGTACAGTGTAACCCGGATATAAGAGAGATTTTCTCCGGTCCCAAATTAGAGCCTATACTTACCTAAACAAAATAGACCAAACCCGGATATAAAAGAAACCCGGATATAAGAGACTTCTTCTCCGGTCCCGACAACTCTCTTATATCTGGGTTACATTGTATATTAATTTATTTTAACGTGTTTATTATTACCTATATTATCTATAAAGTTTTTTTTTGTCTGAATCTCTGGATTGAAAAGTTATTATTTACACTATTTACATTCGGACTATTGTCCTCATCTTTGTTGTTATCACAATGTTTCAACCATTGTACCCTCTGGCTTTCATCAGGTGTATATCAATCTGGGTAACCTACAGAGAATTCTGAACTGAGCCCTTTATTTAATCTTCAGGGGTAGACTGTTCTCATTCCACTGTCCATGTCTAGGGATATCTTGTCTAGTTCTTATTTTTAGTACTGCTCAATTATTGCTTGTCCTCTTTCCACAGAGTTCAAGTCCACACCACCCAGACCAAGGATTGAACTCACAATTACTATGCCATCAAATTCAAAAAATCCACTAGGCTATTGTTCCATTAAAACCTTTTTTTCTTTTTTTTTTCAATATTATCTTCTTCATTTTCTTATATGGAAATCTTGCATAAAGTCATGAAACACCCCAAACAAATAACACCTTTTGCAGAGTCAAGCAACTCATACTTCTGTGACACTAGGTTTTAATTGAATTTGGGACACAAGGTTTTAATCACATTTGAATTTTAATCAAATTTGGGACACAAGGTTTTAATCACATTTGGGACACTAGGTTTTAATCAAATTTGGGACACTAGGTTTTAATCAAATTTAGGACACTAGGTTTTAATCAAATTTGGGACACTAGATTTTAATTGAATTTGGCACACAAGGTTTTAATCAAATTTGGACAACTAGGTTTTAATCAAATTTGGGACACTAGATTTTAATTGAATTTGGGACACTAGGTTTTAATCGAATTTGGAACACAAGGTTTTAATTGAATTTGGGACATTAGATTTTAATCAAATTTGGGACACTAGATTTTAATTGAATTTGGGACACTAGGTTTTAATCAAATTTGGGACACAAGGTTTTAATCAAATTTGGGGCACAAGATTTTAATTGAATTTGAGACACTAGGTTTTAATCGAATTTGGGACACTAGGTTTTAATTGAATTTTGGGGCCTGAGGTTTTAATCCTATTTGGGACACTAGGTTTTAATCCAATTTTGTCAACATAGAACTTGAATGCCCCAATGATAACCAGAACCATGGTAGTTTGAACAATCTACATTCTGGCAACTACATCAATGTCATTATTATTTGAAAAAAATCCATCAAGTATAGGAAGAGAAAAATATTCTATTTTTTATAGAAAATAATTGTAATTTGAATAAGTTATTAATATAAAGAATAACTGTATAATTGCAATAATTTGTAAATTTGTAATAATTGAATAACTGTAATTTGAATTGTTATAATTGTAATTGATAATTTTTTATCAAATAGAAAAATAATTCTATTTTTTTTATAGAAAAAATGTATCTAGTATAGGAAGAGAAATAAAAATTGAAAATCAAACGATAAAAATAAAGCTTAAATGAATCTTATTAAGAAACAATACTGAAAAAAAAGGGCAAAGTAATTTTTACCCTTAAATAAATAAATAAAAATAACTAGTTTTAACCTGTGAAAATGTAATGATTTTACTATTTGAAATATCTGATGAATCTTAATTCTTCAGTTAATGATTGAATAAGCTCATGCCATGTTCTATGACAATAAAATATTCGTAGAGATTCCCCTACCGCATTGTTAAATATTTGAGCTTAACAAAGTTAACAAAATATTAACAATCATAAATATGAATACTGGTTGTTATTTTAAGAAGTAAGGTGGTACAAATGAAAAGATTTGAAATTGACAACTTTTCCATTTCACTGAAACAGACGTTAAACACTTCTACCTCTCCTTCTTTCCTTCATTTTCTCACTGAAACCAAATAGTGTCTTTGATGTCTTTTGTCTTCTCACATGATCAAAAGGGAATAGTTCATTATTTATGAGGTATTATTACCAGGAGACACTTAAACACTTCTACCTGTTTTCTTTTTTTTTCATTGAAACCAAGTAGCGTCTCTGATATGTTTTGTTTTTCCACATGATCAAAATGGAATAGTCGAATTATTTATGAGGTACTGGCAGGGCGTAACAGTCGTGCAAACTAACGAAGGGCGAAACAAGCACAATTATTACATGATTATCAATGATATCTTTTTGTGTATTTTTTGTTTGATGAGGGATCAAGGATCTCATGAAGTGGGTTTGAAGGACCTCTATTGTTTTACTGATTCATTTTCTATGGCTTATCAACCCATTTCAGGTTATTTAAAGCCTGAAAATATTTTTAGATTATAAAAATTTGTGGTAAGAGGAGATAATAATGGTTTTAGTGATATATGTGCTACTAATTAACCCATAGCTGGGGAAGAAGAGGTAGATCAATACCTTTTCCCAAGTGTATTTGCATGTAAGTGAATATAACAAACCCAACAGGACTTGGAACACGACTCTCTGATTGATTAACAATTCCGAGCCATTATCCATTATGCCACATCCATGCTTACAGTACTGATATTCATAAGTGGTTACCCATCTAGGTACTGACCAGGCTTAACATTACTTAACTTGGGTGATCATATGGCAGGAGAAATCAAGCCACACAGCTATGCAGTGTCTCAGTGGAGGACCATGATATCAAATATATTATAATAAATTGTCTTGACCTCAGATTACTCTGTCCAGAAGCCTAGCTTGCTCTAGAGATTTAAAGAAAAAACATCAAAGTTGTTATTTAAACAAAATTCCTTATAACAGGAAAACAACTAACACAAACAACAAAAATGCAAATTCCTTAGTATGATTAATTTGGCAGGTCAAACAAATATCATTCATGGCCCAGGGGCTGGGGTTTGCTGACCCATGTTATATGAGAACTAATGTTTCAATGTAATCTAGGTGATCATAGATTTTCAGATTATTTTTTCTTTATTATCTGTGACATGCCATGATTACTTGGACAAGATAGTGGATTTGTTTCCCCAGTTGCCTTTTCAGAATTCAGAGTTGTTTTTCTCCAAGACTGATTTCCATCCAAGGCAACACAACCCAGTTTACCCTGCTATTTAACTGGATGGATTCACGTCCTTCCCCAAGGAAATTTGTGCAGCACACTTGACCAGAATTTGCTGATTTCACTTTCCACAC